GGAACTGGAAGTCAGAATTTTTGAGTGTTTCCAGGAAAACACTGCTTTTCAGACGTCAGAGAACGTAAATAACCACTGTCAAGCATCTGCTACATATGGAATTATGCGCTGCTACATATCGTTCTTAGGCGACGACACCAGAAATCGACGTACGTTTAAATGTCATAAAACGTGGTACTGTCGGTTCTGCTTATGTTTTCTCTCTTGGAACATGAGGGCGTTGCTCGGTTCCATCAAATACGTCGTGATCTGTGAGTTGAAATCATTTAGCGCACTGCTGATGCCTTTTCTGCGTGTCCAGTCATCGTTCTATAGAAGCGAAGAGACGAGTCCCAGGAAGCAGTCTTGAAGAAGGAGACACGATCGCTGGAACAAGAGCTTTATTAGCCTGACGGTTCGGGTTCCTGCTCGAACCCATCATCTGAGACAAAGCCGATACGGGTGGTTCATGCATAAGGGGCTGTAGTGCGGGTGGTTTTGCATGAACCACCCGTATCTGCTTTGTCTCAGATGATGGGCTCGAGCAGGAACCCGAACCGTCAGGCTAATTAAGCTCTTGTACCAGCGATCGTGTCTCCCTCTTCAAGACTGCTTACCGAGACTCGTCTGTTCGCTTCTATTGGCGGTATATTCGGGCGCGATGCGCTCCGATCGACCCGGCGGTGTGAAACATTCGCCCTTCGGGAGACCTCCACGTATTCGCAGGTCGGGTTTCTGCAGAGATGTCCTGACCATAATGTGTTGCCGAAATGTGCTTTATACAAAACCCCGGTTAACACGGCTTTGGCGAGGAGAGCAGTATTTCAACATGGCATAATGATGATCCGAGTGCTCCTCCAAGATTGTCACGCGAGACTTCGCAAGTACCGTCAAAGGATTGACCAAGAAAAGAGCAGATGCTGTGAGTTCGTGGGCGAGATCGGTACAAATCTGATCCTGCAGAGGATTGCTGAACAAGCCCGCGAAAAGAGAATGATACTCGACGCAGCACTGGAGAAGAAATTCCGAAAACTGCCCAATCCAACGTCGCCCAGAAACGACAAACTGGTGCACAACCTGTCGTCAAAGGAGCTGACGAAAGATCAGATACAGGTTTTACGGCACAAATTTTCATTCAACATGACTGATGCCAAACCTGTTAACATGATTGAAACAGTAGAATCAATCCTTATTCAGGCGGAGGCAACGAGGAGACTAAGAGCCTCATCCGACACCAAATGTCGTCACTCATAACGGCCCAGAGGCCGCGACAATTGCTTTCCAAGGTCGAACGTGATGCGCTTAGAGAACTCAAGGCCGACAAAGACTTGGTCATCGTGCCAGCGGACAAGGGGTGATCCACCTTCAAAAAGCCAAACGTTTATTGGAGAACCGACAGTTCTATGTGCCATGTGCAACGAACCCTTTAAAAGCGCTGACACGCGAAATTAATGCTACGTTATTGGCCTTGGAGAACACAGGTGCAATAACACCGACCGACAGACGCATAGCGAGATCCAAAGATACGGCTTTGGCCCGATTCTATTTCCTCCCTAAGGTGCACAAAGACTGCGCTCCTCTCCGACACATCGTGTCGCTCAAAGGAACTCCAACGTACGGACTGAATAAGTGGCCGTTCCGGCGTCTCAAGTTCCTGACCGCTGAGTCAAACACCACGGTCTCTTAATCAGCACAATTCCTGGAGAAACTCAAAGGGGTAGGCCTCATCTAAATGAAGTCATGGTATCTTTTCATGTTACATCCCTCTTTACTTCTATTCTTCAGGATATGGCGATCGAGACAATCGAGATGCTACTACAAAGCAAATACGATGAAACGGAAAATCGTTTTGGATACGCCTAAGTCCTTAAGTTCCTGAAGCTCTGTCTCAGGACGTCCGTCATGTTCGACCGGACAATCTATGAACAGATGAAGGGCTCACCAATGGGTTCGCCGATATCGGGATTAATCGCCGAGGCGGTCCTGCAACGGTTAGAGTCACTGGTCTTCCAACACCACAAACCGAACTTCTGGTCCCGGTATGTGGATGATACCTTCGTCGTTATCGAACGGGATCAACTGCTGACATTCAAGAAACGTCTGAATGCGGTCTTTCCGGACATACAATTTATGATAGAGGAGGAAGAGAACAACCAGCTGGCCTTCCTGGATGTCCTCGTATACCGCAAAGATTGTGGTGAACTAAAAACCAAAGTGTTCAGGAAAGCGACAAATACGATGCAAGTACTGGACTTCAACAGCAACCACCCAATCAGCCACAAAGGCAGTTGTGTAAGTACGCTCTATCGGCTTGTCGAAACGCACTGCAGTGAGCTGGAAGGCAAGATTGCCGAACTACAATACCTCCGACGTGTATTCAAAGCCAATGGCTACCCGCGAAATTTCGTCAACCAGGATGAAAGACCTTACCACACGGACAACAAATTTTGGCGAGCGCTTCCATATGTCAAAAACGTTTAGGGAGTTCTCGGTCGCCTTCTCGCACCACTTGGGGTTGGATTTGCACATAAACCGGGGGCAACCATCAGGCGTCAGTAAATAAAAACGAAAGACCCACTGCCACGGCAAAAAAACGTGTGGAGTCGTTTATCGAATCTGGTGCAGTTGCGGACAAAGCAACTGCGTTGGAGAAACCGGAAGACATACCTGAACACGAATGACTGAACACGCTGCAGCGGTGCGCAGAAAGGACGCCAGCTCTCAAGTTGAGGCCCATTCGACGAGATCCGACCACACATTCAAATTCTAAGAGGCCGAAAATCTCGCAAGAGGTATCGACCGCCTGAGTCGGGAACTGCTTGAGTCATGGTTTACTGGCCCAGAGTCAATTAACTAGTGCAATTATCTTCCCATTCCATACTTGGAGCTAAGACTTCGTCTAGGCGGAGTTATTGGCCACGCGGGGAGCGCACAAGTGAACAGTTCTCTCTACACTAAGGTCAGTGCTTCAGATGATCGAGCAATAATCACACGAGCATCCAAAGCACCTGATGGAATTGCAGCAATTAACGACGCGAATATCAACCATCACAACATGTGCAACGATCCCTGATGAAGGGGGGATCATGGCTTTTGCATCCTATAAATACTGCAGCCACTTATGCATGAACCACCCGTATCTGTTTGTCTCAGATGATGGTTGGAGCAGGAATCTGAAACGTCAGGCTAATAAAGCTCTTGTCTCAGCGATCGTGTCTCCTTCAAGTCACCGGTATTTCCCATAGTTGCTCTGCCCTAAAGGGCTCCAGAGGTTTTATGATGCGAGTGCTTAGCTTTCAACTCAATTTTTTGGCGCCGATGTCTGCTTCCGTTATATATGCAATCTGAAGTCCAATTAATGCACGATGGTGTCTGAGGTCCTCTGAGACTGGTTACGAATGGTTGCGGTGTGCTCTATCATCTCTTATGCGCATTCACCCGCCAGCGAATTTGTGCGGGTAGATATCCACTCTGTGCAATATAAGAAATTGGTAAGCGTTTTTCCAAATGCACTGCAATCGCATCCCAACAAACCGGTAGAGAATCCTTAAGCAAACGTTTTCATGGTTAATTGGGGTTTTTAGTGCTAAAGCTCACTTCTTGCGTCGCATTTGTCGTTTTCCTGAACATTTTACTTCATATACCACCATACTCATCGTGGTAGACGAGGACATCTCTACTACATCGCCACTACTATTCCTGATTTATGTAAATGATCATACTAAAGAAATCGATTGCTAGGCGGATGACATAAAAATATGCAGTGAAGTCAAGTTCATTGATTATTTTAGTTTTTGGTAA